AAATGTGTCTACAACGCAATGAATTCTTCCCTCAGTCTACGTAACGGCCCCGTCTGAGAGTCTAAATATCTCCCGCAGCCTCTTTACTGTTTGCTTACTGAAGACATAGAGCCAGGGCTGAATGCAAACAGTTACCTGAGTGATCTCCCAGACGTAACGCCGGTTATAAAAACTTAACGAGCCACAGGGCATAATGTGAAGATATATATGTATCTATAAAGACCTTATTGGCTTTTCATTTGGGTCCGATGAAAAGTGTGGAGGAGAGAGGGAAAGCCTCTGAGTGTAAGGCATGTTCTACATAAATCGCACACAAGTGCCCACTTGAAAACACACGCAGAGACACTCACACAAACAAAACAAAAATAAAAGCACTCAGAGAAAATAATGAACAGAGTCCTTGAGTGTGAGTAAACAGATTCAGCTGTTCCTCTGCTCCCTGGGCTCAGAAGTGGCCCACTTACTTTCAGAAACAAATCACACACACATATCAGACAATATCATTCTTTAAACCAAGTGTTCAGGATACTGGTCAGGTACGATTATGATGTAATGTACAGTATGAACCAGGAGATGTGTCCCTGCTGGATCATTGAGTCTGGTGCTCAACAAGCATGCTTCATGTTGAGTAATAGTAAATGACTGATAGGTGATGAGAAACGTGTTCAGCTAACAAAAACCTGTGCAGCAGAGGAAAGTGATGCTAAACTGAAGCAGTCCCTGTATTACTGATACGACCATATTTTACTGAAAGTATGATAAAACCACTAACAACTTTGTCTTTTTACTTAAAGGTGCATTATTAAACTTTTGGCCACTAGGGGGCAGAAGAGCACCAAACACGCTAGCAGACATGACCAAACCATTGACTTGTTATTGCTAATATTTTAGCATCCAGTAAGATACAGAGCATCATTATCATCGGTAGAGTTGTGTTATAGGCCACCGATGAATGTTAAGTTTATTTTCTCTGTCATTTGAGCTCTGGTTTGGTCTTTGCTAATGTGAAAAATATCTGGGTTGTTAGCTTGCCAGATGCTAACGTAACGTTATGCGTTCTTTATCCGCTAGCTAGTTGCTATTTTTGATTTCCTGCTGTTTTGAAAGATGAGTGTCAGAGATGTTTTGCTAAAAATGTCTCACTGCTGAAAACTAGTCCGCAATCATACATATAAAAGGGATATTTAACTAGTCAAACAGAAATATTATAGAAAGCATAATTAAAAAAAAAAGGGAAAGCCACTACTAGAATAAAGTTGCATTATGGGTAATGTAGGGGCCACTGTATCAAGTCCACTCATCTGTCCATCGTGAGCCCGTCAATGTTGTAGAAGTGCAATGCTAAATTACAGTAATTCTTTGGGGTCTGGTTTAGTTCTTTGCCTTGCAGATGCAGTTTTTAGTTTTATATTAAAACATCCGTCTGGGAGATTTCTGCCAACAGCCCAAAGGAGGTGAAGTTTGTTTGTGGTGCTCACATCACGGAAACTTTACATTTAAAACATTCAAGAGCAACGCATACTTCCAGAAGCAATGTCCAAATCCAGAGACCTTGCTGTGAATAATTTTCCTATGCAGCTCCACAGACATCTCAAAACTTGGGCAAGTAAAACCAAAACTATTGGTGTGTTGTTAGTGTTAGCAAACAAATGCCAAAATTCAATATAGAACATATATATATATATATATATATATACATATAGAACATTATCATCCTTTTGGAGTCGTGTTTCGGCTCCCAGTACAAATGTAATTCAACACTCACTGGCCCTTTATTGACCCTTGTATACATATTTTAAAAAAATAAAGATATATTAATGAAAGCTTTATTAAGCATTAAAGAACTGTGCTCTTCTGTTAAATCATTATAGTGTATGCCAACGTGTTTGAACTTGAGAAAATGCTACTGAGGAGGATGGAGGATTTTTTTGTCTGGGGTTTTTTGTACTTACAAGGTTGAGAGGTTTCGTCTGTTGCAAGAGCATATTTATATTAGTCTCACCATACTTTAATATAATATAATTTAACATTTCAGAAGATGGATGTGGCCTTCACAGACTTGTGCCTCGACACAATCCTGTCTTCGAGCTCTGCAGGCAGTTCCTTCCTCCTCATGGCTTGTTTTTTTTTTTGTCTGCGCTGAGACCTGATACAGACAGGTGTGTGCCTTTCCAAATCGTTTCTTCTTTTGTCTTTAGCTTTAATGGGGTATAGTTGAAGAGAAAAAAAAAATGTTCTTTTTGATTTGCAACTGGCTGCAATATAACAAAATTTGAAAAAATTGAATACTTTCTGAATGAACTGTATTCATCAAAATACAAACGACTCATTATTGATCGTCAACAAAACATTCACCTTGTAGGCATAACAGCGACAGACAGAACGTCTCGGCGATGGGATGAAGGGAGAGCTTGTTTTTTGAGGTGATTGGGGAGGGAGGGGTGGGTAGTGCAGGAGTGTGGGCAGAGGAGGAGATGGAGGAAGAGGGGGGTGGGGGTAGGGCGGTGTTACAGACCTAAGCAGGTGTGACAGTTCTGAAAGCTTTCCTGGGGAAAAAAAGGTTTCTCTGGCCTTGTAGCGATGCTAAACTGAGCGTGACCCTCAGACTGAACCCGGCCATCTCTCTCGCTTTCTTGCCTAAATCGCCCAAGAACAGGAAAACCGTCCACTGACACTGTGTAGAGGATTTAAGCTTACAAATTCCTTTTCTCCTTCTGTTTGTCTCGCCATCACTTTCGCTTTATCTCTTATTTTCTGTTTGCTCTCGTGAATTGATATATGAGATTGCAGAAAGATACTGTGGAGACAAAAGTCTGTCGATTAAAATTGAAGATCATGTAATTTCTGCCGCCTCCTGATGTGATGGTTTCCACTATGATCGCATTTAGTCGATAAGTATTTATTTATATTTGTTTAATTTCAGGTGTCTGAGCAGTGTGTGGGATGGGAATGTCGGTCACTTGGTCTACAACTCTCACCACCAGTCCAGACTGAAATATATCAACATCTACGTAATTGGATTGCTGTGAAATTCTGTTCAGACATTCGTGGTCCCCAGAGGATGAATACTACTGACTTTGCTGCTGTCTTGACCTTTCATTAAGCTCTGTCGGCAGGTCAAATTTTTCACTTATCCAGTAAAATCTCAACATATAGATGGACTGGCAACCTGCCGGAAAAAAAAAGCCTCAGCCATATTTAGTGTTTAGTGCTTATTAGCAAATGTTAGCATGCTAACACACAAAACCAAGAGGGTGAACACGGTAAACCTTATACAGGCATTTTAGCATACTGACGTTAGCATTGGGTCAAAGTACAGCCACACAGACCTGTGCTATGGCTGTAGACTCTGTCTTGTACTGCAGTTTGTAAAAATTGCAGTGAAACCTGCCAAAAGGAGCTGCTAAGAAATTCATTAGTTTGGCTTTTTGTGGCATTTCAGAGTCCCAAGATGCTCTACATGCTGTTCTGCAGGCTCCTCCGCTCTAACATGGATAAAACTGTACAGGGAAACTGAATCCTTGCCACTTCTTGGAATCTTTGGGGCATGAAAAATTGTCAGATGCAAAGATCTGGAATCACAGTGACTTATATAAGCCTAACCCCAGTGTTTACCCCCTTCCATCTGCCCCTGTTTACCCCAGACTGTGGCTCTGTATGTTAGGGGACAGGGGAAGTCCGCACAAGCAGAAGGCAAGAGCGCGAGCTATCGGATTGGAACTCCTCCACCTGCCAAGAGAAGTAACTCTTCCTTTTATGAGCCAATTGAAATTCAGCTCACAGGCTATCCATTCTGTCAATGACAAGAGGAGTCAGGACAACCTTGCAACCCCCAACACTAATAACACTGTAATGGTCAGAGATAGATCACGCTGAACGCTGATAGTTAGAGCGGGTCTTCGGCCTCCCATAAGTGTTTATTGCAGACAATTTTTGCCTTCATTTGTTTTGAGCAGATGCATGCCTGGGTACACCTGCGGTCGATCGTAATAGTTTTCACTCCGGCAGCGGACTGACAAATGACCTGCAGTTTTTGCTGTTTGTTCAAAGAGCATCCGCCTGCAGATAATGCATACTACTGTATATGCTTAGCAACCCAATATACAGGAAATGGTCTGCTCTTGCTTTGTATGCATTAGGCCAGCTCTAACCTATGACCCCTCGTGCTCCACTGAATGGCATGACAGGTTCATTACCACCATCTCAATCAGAGGAATCAATCCTCGAGGGGTCTGTTCCAGACACTCTCCTCACTGTGCTTTTCACTTGCACAAAAGTGTTTTTAAATCAATAGAAGTGGAGAGCAAAATGGGGGATTAGACTAAGAACAGGCTTCTTCTGATGGACCTAATTTCAGCAGCATTTGGTCCGCTCTTTGTCATGATCAGCACCGCCACTAAGGGGCAGTAGAGAGCCTGGAATGAGAGTACCCACAACTTAGGGGGAACTGAAGACTGCCTGAACTGAAATCATAACAACAAATTAAACACTGTAGATGTGTCATCATCATTATCCTATTCACATCAGTTAAAGAATACTTGATGGGAAAATGTCTAGTGCATAACAATTCACATCTTTAGTTTAGTTTGTAATGCCAGACTTATTCTTTCCTGAGAATATACCCTGTAACTTTCAAATTAAAAAGCCATTCAAAGATGAAGATTACAGCACTGATATAACTGTATCAATTGGTATAAGTGACAAAATAAATCTGACATTACCTACACTATAGAGCTGACTCCAGAGGTTTCTAGATTATCTCAGATAAATAATGGATATTCCTATTCAGTTCCATAACAAAAATATGTTTACCTTGTTAATTCTACCTTATATTATATACAAAACTGTTTACAGCAATATAGTGGCACCATATTACCACCTATACCGTATGTTACCATATTACCACTATCGTAAATCATACAGTGGGGTTATCTCTACTGGAGGCGGCGCACATTCACACAGCACACAGTAGGCGGCGTCAGTCCGGAGAACTACGTCCTTCTGAGCTCACTTCCGTCGGCTTGAGTCGGATCACTATTCTCCAGTCTCTCACCGCTTTTGTTCTCCCATTTCCATCCAGGCAGCGCTGCTGAAAAGACGGAGCCAGCCGGTTGGGGAAGCCACAAACACGCAAAGTAGCGGACTCGTCTTTCGCAGAGACACCCGGTAGCCACATGCAAAGCGCCGTCTGCACAGAGGATACGCGGCACTCCGTAGTTACATAACTGGACTACTTTTTTTTCTATCATTGTTGGGGGTTTTTTCACGCTTTTTTTTTTTTGTTGCACCGAAACTGACTCCCCCCCTCTAAACTCAAAATGGAGAACGACGACAAATACCTCCCCGAGCTGCTGGCGGAGAAGGACAGCCTGGACTCGTCGTTTACGCACGCCATGAAACTTTTAAACGCAGGTAAAGTAGTGTTTCCTTGTGTTTTATGTTGACTCTCACTATGCGGTTTATGTTTTGACTTAAAGAAGGGCCACGTATACTGCTCGTGAACGCACCTTCAAACGCACACCTCCACGCTTTAAGCGCCATGTGTGTGTGGACGGGACGTGGACTGCCCCACAAACGCAACACTCACATTAAGTGCTTTTATATGTCGGTTATGAGTAGTTGTGATACATTGGTTCATGTAGGAGTTAATTAGTTGCTAGTTAATGAGTCTGTGTCTGAAATTTTAAATAGCCTAAAGCTGATAAGACACCACAGGAGACTCACTTTCAGGTATTCTTCCGAGTAATTTCCGTTTCCTCTTGTGCAGCTGCGGCGTCTCTAATCTCCTTTCTTCAGTAATAAAGAGGCTTGTGTCGGGTTTAAACTTAACAATTAAGACTCCTTTAGACAATAGGTGTGTTTGTTTTCGGTGCCGAGTTCCTGTTGAGCTCATTGTCTCACAGCTTGCGTTGCGCAGCAGCTTTTTCAAATGTGCGCCAGTATCCGGCGACCGGGGTCACGCCGCCACTTAAGAGCCGAGAGGCGGCCTGGCAGCGGTGATGGAGACCTTCACGTCCCGCTGCGAGTGTCGGCCGCTGCTGAAGTGTCCTTGAGCAAGAGACTGCAGACTTGGCAGCTCCAGGGCTGTTGTCTCGTAGCTGTGCTGGAGGCTTCATCTGGTATTCAGTCTTTCAGATATTGTGGTGGTCAATGCCATATCCTGATATTTGTAGAGGAGCCGCACTATTAATGTCACAGAATATGATTTTTGTAGTGATATCCTGTAGCGAGACTGTGGGATGATATACCACGAAGTACCATAGGACATAAAGGGCAATAGTCATACTAAAGTAAATAAAAAATACACAAAGCACCATTAGGGCATCACAGACTGGCTCCCATAAACTGTGTTGTTGCCCATGTGCTCTCCCAGTGGCTGTAAGTCAGTCATTTTCTGCATTCTCAAGTTTCTCAGGTAGCTCTGCTAAAGGTTAAGTTGGTCTCTTTTGTCTTTTGTCTAACAGGATGTGCAGTATCTAGGCTACATCTCTGAAACTGAGTGTAAGAATGATGCAGAACGACAAAGTGTGTCAGTGTGTTGCAGGTTCCCTCAGCAAAACATCTACCGAGCCCCCCCCCCAACCCATTGCCTCTCTCCAATCTGTAGCTGGTAGACTGTAGTGTAGCTGACATGTTTGCACATGGCGGGCTCCGGGGTTGCCATGGCCAGGAGAGAGGAGGCGGTTTGAGATGCTGCTGTTGGTGCCGTGTCACATGGATGAGGTGATAGAAGGTGTAGGGAAGAGCTGGTGGTTACTTCTCAAAAATGTACCCGTGAAAACTAATTTCTCATATCATGGTTTGAAAGGTTCAGAACTAGGATTATGATCTGGATTATTGAGTAGTCTGAAAATTATTTTCTCAGTTATTGAACACAAGTTTTAGTGTATGAATGGGCAAAATGGTGAGATTACAACTCCTCACATCAAAGCGGTGTGTTCAAATGTCTTGTTTTGTCCACTCAGTAGTTAAAAATCCAGATATTCAGTTTACAACACACTTCCATACTGAGGAAGCTGCAACCAGTGGATGTTTGTAATTTTTTTTGCTTGAAAAATGGCTGAAATAATTCTATCAATTGTCACAATAGTCGCTTTAATGGCTGAATCAACAAACTCTTCATTCAGCACAAGAAAGTGCAAATGAAACGCATCACAAACACTTGATTATCATCTTTTATTCATCTGTAAGCAGTGTTGTTTGGCAGTCACTTAACATTGATTTGGTGATTTGTGAGTCAAAAGAATTAAAGATGTTTGTTTTAAAAAAAAAAAAAAAAAAAAAAAAAAAAAAAAGAGTGAATAGTGAAAGTGAATATTTATTTTACGATGTCTGAGATTCATCAGTTAAATCTGTGTCTGAAGATGTAAAGTTTCAACCAGTTTAGCCTCGTGTTCACGCAGACAGTTCCACAGCTTTAACTGCAAATCACCAAAATTGCTGCTTACTTGGGTAATGTAAGTGCACATAAATCCACCTCATGATGATAATGTGCTTTGTCACTTTGAATCCTGTCTGATTGCGTGAACACTTTGCCTAAAACAATCCCTTTCCCCTTTTTAGAAATTGATAGAATCCAGAAAGGCGAGACTAAAAAGGAGGCAGAAGCATACCTGGACCTTTTCACAACAAAGAACATCAAACTTAAGGAGCGAGTTCTCATACCTGTCAAACAGTACCCGAAGGTGAGCTTTCTGTGCCCCTGTTTTTTTTTTTTTTTTTTTTTCCTTCCCTCTCCTTCCTCCTCTGTCCTCGTTTTCAGTGTGAACCCCTCTTGATTTAATTTATCCTGCAGCCGGGTTTCAATTATACAAAGCCATGGGGTTACTTGGGAGTCTCAAATTACTCCTCTCAACCTCGATCTTTAAGCTCCAGAGTATAATTACAGCTGATACCGGCATGTTTTAAAATATCACTGAAAGGATCAAAATGTTAACATTACTATGGTTAGGATATCTTTATATTTCAGTGTCATTCAGGAGATTGGATCCTCTCTTCTGTTCAGTCTTACTTTTCTTTATCATATAACTTCAGGTGCATTGATCCACATCATTGACTTAAGGATGATGGTTTATGATTGACAAGCTTATATTGTGTTGCGTAACTGTTAGGATCCTGTTTACTTCCCGACGTTAATAAAAGTTGATAGACAACACAGCCTGAACTGAAATAACGAGCTAAAGTAAGATCCATATACGCTGCCCCCTCCCGAGCATCAGATCAATATGATGTAGGAGTCTGGTCTGTTGGGGTAACACAGCCGTCTGATCTCCCAGACTTAAGGTTTAATTTGTACATCACTCCGCTGTGTCAGGAACGACAAAGCTAATGAGCGTATTCAGATTGCAACAGCCACTTTTGCAACTCCGGGAGGAATTGCTTCCTCGGGGGCATTTTCTTTTTTCTTTTTTGCTAAATGTGTTTGGCAGTGACAGCTAATTGTAGGACACATCATACACACAGTAATTACGTTGTTCAAAGATTGAGGAGGTAAAAATTGCAGCTTTTGATCGCAAGTCAGTTCTGGCTCAGTGCTCGGACGATTGTAGTGAATAGTAAGTCACTCCAGGGCTCATATTGACCCTCTCTGGTAAATCTACTACTTAAAGGCTCCAGTATGCACAACACGACCCCGGCCAGTGATTGTGCCTTCACTCTCTCGGCGTTAAACTCGCCTCTGCTGTGATTGTCACACTAATTTTGTTCCGCTTTGTTTTGTTATTAGTTCAATTTCGTGGGGAAGATTTTGGGACCTCAGGGCAATACAATCAAACGTCTTCAGGAAGAGACTGGAGCCAAGATCTCTGTGCTCGGCAAGGGATCCATGAGAGACAAAGCCAAGGTACAACACACACGCGCACACACACACACACACACACACACACACACACACACACACACACACACACACATCTGGTGTTACACACCTGTGAGAAGGATACTTAAAGCCATAACACATCTGGCCTGTACTTGAGAAGGGTGGCAGGCAGTGAGCCCAGATGGCGTCAACTTGCAGGATAGCTTGGTTGAACCTAAATGTAACGCCAAGGGCATCCACGCACCGCACATCTGTTCCAGGAACCTTCAGGATAGCCCACTAAACCTGTTATCTGCCAGTCTGATGTGATTATTAAACTTCATAAAGACAGGGAATACCACACCTATGCCCGATGCCCTCTGAGGTGAATGAAATGAGATTACTTCTTGCATAATTCATTAAATCTCAGAGTTAGGCGTGTGCTCTCTTTGACTCGCGGATACTCCTGTGCCCTTGTTTCAGGAGGAGGGGCTGAGGAAAGGCGGCGAGCCCAAGTACGCGCACTTGTCTATGGAGCTGCACGTGTTCATCGAGGTGTTTGCCCCCGTGCCCGAGGCCTACCTGCGCATGGCCCACGCCATGGAGGAGGTCAAGAAGTTCCTGTTTCCTGTGAGTATGATGTTGCTAATGACTTGTTTGTGTCTTTTTATTCTCCAGTTTATTTGCCTGCCTGCTCAGTGCAGAGAAATGTAACAGCAAATTGTCAGTCTGCTAACAGATGAGTTGACAGCGTCACCCTATAAATGAAACTAGGGCTGCAGCTAGCTATTGTTTTCACTATTGGGTATCAATCTTACAGTCTGCTGAAGCCTAAAGTTCTGCATCTTGTTTTGTCCAATCAGCAGCCGAAACCCTCCAAATGATTGATTCGTTGCATGAGAAAAAACAATTGCGGAATATTTGGTATCTTTACACGATTAGTGACATGTCACATTTCACTCATTTCAGCCCCAACACAAAAGCCACACATGTCTGTTTAGTTTGTAAAGTCATAGTTTTTCCACCTGCAGAGAAGATATCTCGCACAATACAGTTTTCTTGTTACAGTTTTAATTTAACAACAGAACACTATTTCATACTCAAATTCACACGACAGTGACAAGTCTAATTGCTGGGGAACATTAGGGAACTGAAAGTGGAGTACTCCGTCAGTGAGAGCAGCCCTGCTGAAATTATTTTTGGGTTACTGGCTGACTGACTGAGGGTGTGCCTTTCAGAAAGGTGAGCAGTCGCAGTGTGTGAGTTAGCAAAGATTTTTTTGGGGGGGGGCACAGTAGGACAGATGGAGGAGATGGAGTGGGTGTTTACCTGGAACAAACAGACCTGATGGCAAAGTCCAGGCACGTACAGCAATCAGCCTTAGAGAAGGAATTGGGTTGCCTTCAGCAGCCCCTTTCACACTGCCTGTTCAAGGTTGGGACTGTTGTGCTGTTATTCCGCCTCGCAGTTCTGTATGTAAGCTATGAACATGAAATGAGAGCGGGGGGTGTTTTTCCAGCAATTAGCCGCCACCAAAGGTAGTCACAAAGCTGGATCACCATCTGTTTAAAAAGGGGAGAGCCAGCATGGCGGGACAGGATGCTGACGCTGTTGTTACATGTCATACCTCTGACCGCTGGCGTGCCAATATGCCAGCTTCATTTGGTTCGGTATGAACAAGATAAGCCGGTATAATGACGGGTCTTCTTAACAGCAATACAGTGGGATCTGTTTTGAAAGAGGCAGACGTGACTTGTCTGCACGTCTGTCTGTCCGTCCATCACTGTTCCTTTACCTGAGTCTCATTCTTCTGGGACTGTGGGGAATCAGCCAGGAGATGTAGAGCCCCTAGACAGATATGTGGGCATATTCACCCTGCGCGGCCTACACTCGCTTTATTGGTTTTATGCTGCGAGGTTTCTTGAGCGTGGGCATGCCCGGTCTGCTGTCAAGCCCAGCTGAAGCCCATAGTGCTCTAACAAAGGCTCTTGCCAGAGCAGGCCAACAGGCCCAGGGGTTTGTGAGAAGCCTTACATTTTTTAATTAGTGTGGACGGTTCTTTTAAAAGAAAGAATAATTTGGATCAGAGGCGAGATGAATGGGCTGATGAACCAGCTGCGGTGTCGGGTTTTGCTATGTTATGTAAAAAGCAGAACCCGCCTTTACGATTCGAGGCTGTTATCTCAGGCCTGACGTCAGTAATTTGGAAGCGAGACATATTTTAATAAATGACTCAGCTTCTCAGTAGATGGGTGGATGTGATTTGTTGGAGAAATGTTTTATGTATCACCTGCACTTCTCAGTCTTTTTTCTACAGGCTCTTACTCTTTTGTTCTTCCTCATCCTCTTCATATCTGTGTGCCTGTATGTCTACTAATGTATGTGCAAAGTCAGAGCCTGTGTGGATGACTTGCATTGCTTGTTAGTTTTCTCAACACTGACACTTTAAAAAAACACAATCTAAATCTAAAGAAACCTCATTGATCTAAATACCTTGGTGGGTACAGACATGTCACCTTGTTAAATGCAGCTGCAGTCGCTGTGCTCCTGGCCTGAGATGAATTTGTAATCAGAAAAATGGTTTGTGTTTTCCTGCTTTTGCTGCAGAAAAATTGAAAGCTGCAGTATGTGCAGCATATTCTGCTATCTGCATTTTTTTTCCTCCTCCTCCTTTTCACCATCATTAGAGCTCCATCACTATTCCAAGTCCAGGGACTGATTTATGAAAAAGAATTGATTGGGTCACAGTGCGGCTCTTGTGATTGCTCCCCGAAGAAAGGCGGCGGATTGTGTTGCGGGATTTGTGCTACTCAGGCAGGCAGCCACAGTAATCCACCCCAACTTATTGTTTTTCCCGGATAGAGTGAGGTAACTGTTGATGCAGTCGTAGCAGACTTGTCAAGAAGTGCAGGGAGAAGTGATTTACATTTTGTGCATGATGGAGAGGCACAGGAAGCCAGGGAGTGTGGATGGATGGGCTCCAACCTCCCACATCCACGACCCCCCTTCTCTCTTCACACTCTGACTCACTGGTGCTGAGACTTCTTCTTCCACTTGCTCTGTTAGCCATTAGGAAGATGCCGTGTTTTGAGCAGCTCTGTAATTGTGTTTCACTGTTTTATTCATCACCCTTTCTTCCATGCTGCCTCTTTTTCTTCTTCTCTCTCTTTCATCTGCGTGGCTTCACTGTTCCCATGTCATGTGCTCTTGTTTCTCATCCTCTCTCTCTGTTTTTATTTTCCTCTCCTTTGTGGGTGCGTGCAGGATATGATGGATGATATCTGCCAAGAGCAGTTCATGGAGATGAGCTACCTGAACGGAGGCCAGGAGCACGGAGCCCGAGGCCGAGGGGGCATGCCGGTCAGGGGCCGCGGAGTCCCCCCTGCTGGAGCACACAGGTGAGGGAGGTGCACGCACACACATACAGGGTTTCTCACATAACAGCTGCTGGGTCACCGAGGTAACACAAAGACCCTGCTGTTCCTCTACTACCATGGCAACGTCCAAAATACTATTTTTTTTTTATTTTAAAACGCATCTCTTTGGCTACGTTTTTCCTATAACGTTGTTGTATGGACGTGCAGAGACCTGTGGAAGCGATGACATACACGCCCCCGGACGCTCCCTGATCGCTCTTATCAACCTTGACTACCAGTGGTGAATACGACATGGAAAAATTAAATACAAGCGTTTGATCACTGCAGCTGTCTTTAGTTCGTAGTATTTTTTTCAACCAATCAACTGCAGAGCAGACGATCTGCATCCTGTTTACGCTTGCTCGCACATGCCCAGTGTACATGAATGGTCATGTATGTATGAGTTTTCAGGTGTGATAGTCAGGAGGGAGATTATTTCTGTGTCTGGATAGATGCGCTGTTTTAAAATGGAAAACGTATTAGTGTGGACGTAGCCTGTATCTGTGCATTAATGAAATTCACACAGCAAGTTAAAGGAATAACAAGGGATCCAAACCAATGGCTGCTCAAAGATTGTCAGTTCTTGCTTAGTTTCCTGTTAAAAATGTGACAAGGTGTACATTAGTTAATCAATTCCACTGTCATGTCGTACGGTAAATACACAGCTGGAGCCAGAAGCCTGTTAGCATAGCTTAGCATAAAGACTGGAAACAGGGGGAAACGGCTAGCTTGGTTCTACTGGCACCTTTTAAAGCTCACTAACTAACACATTACTTAAACAAACAAGATATAACCTGTTAATTTGTTAGCTTTAGCAGTGTCAGGCTAGCTGTTTTCCTGTTTCTCTAGTCTTTATGCTAAACTGTGTTAACTGGCTGCAGGTATGCATATTCCCCTTTGTCTACATGCTAAGCTAACTAATGTAGTATACAGATATGAGAGTGGTGCCACTGTTCTCATCTAACTTGTGTGTATTTCCCATCAATTTCCCACGATATCAAACTGTTCCTTTTTAGAAGAAGACTACAGTGATAACTCCGTGTTCTTTTCTTCAGGGGAAGGGGGATGCCTCCTCGCGGCGCTTCTGCCAGGGGAGGTGTGACTCGAGGCGGCCCAGGCAGGGGTGGCGCAGTGAGGGGTGCACCAGGAGGCCGAGGAGGACTCCCCGCAGCACCCTCCAGGGGAGCTGCGGCACCCCGCGCCAGGCCCCCAGCTGCCGGACCTCCACAGAGGATGGCGCCTCCACCGCCCCACCAGCACACCCCTGCTACAGCCCCAGAGAGCTACGACGAATATGTAAGTAAAACTGCCAGTGGAGGGTAGTTTTCATTTATCCATTTAATTTGTATGTTGCTCTCCTCAGCACAGTTATATTAAAGGTTACTGTTATTATGCAGAGTAAAATATCTCTTTAAACCTGTAAATTTGATATGGTAGCCATTAGAAATGATAAAACATTCAAGGAATATGTGGTTTAACAGCCAAAAGATGAGTTTTCCTGTCACAATATGATGCTCTGAGGTTGATGTAGCTCAGTCTGACCTCTTCAGCACCCGTCTCCATGATAGTTTTGGGCACCCTGTTAGCTGCTCGTCCATCATCGCAGGAATAAGTGATTTCAGATGCTCGAAACATAAGGGGAGAGTGTGTCTGCTGTAGTACTTGTGTAGTACTTTGGGGACATCTTGACATTCATGATTCATGAATAAGCCTCTCCTTAAATCTCACTCTGTTTCTCTGTTTCCTTCCCTCTTCAGGGCTACGATGAGAGCTACACAGACGCGGCCTACGAGTCATACGACAGCTATTACAGTCAGCCGCAGGCGTGAGTGAATCAGATGTCTCTTTGGTTTTCACCTGCTTCTCACAAAGTGCACACACATCGCCTGGTTGCTAGTTTCGCTCGAGATGGGATTTGAGTGCAACAGAAATACTTTTTAGCCACTCTGCACAAACTCGGCATTGATGGTGCTTCATGTTTCATGGTTCGGATGGCAGCTGGGACTCAGATGTTCCATGCTAGAGAGCCAAGCTTTGATCTTATTCGTGGAAGCCAATTATCATCCCCCTAGACATTACAGTCAGCAGCTACTTGATGTTTTTCGAAGATTAAAAGTGATTTTTCTTCTTCTCCCCCTGTTTCTGACCATCAGAGAGCCAGAATACTACGACTACGGACACGGAGAGACCACAGACTCATATGAGTCATATGGTAAGAAAATTATTTTTTTTCGCTGTCAACGAACATGAGCCAATTTATACTTTTACGGAAGCTGCTGAATATAAAAAGTCTGCTAAGAATACGACCAAAAACCTGCTTGGTGCTATGAGTGAATTTACATTTACTGGTTGGTTGGTGGTTGCTTGTCTTTACTACCCTGAAGTTGTCAAATTAAACTGAGGCAAAAAATATTGGTGTGCCCCAATGTGTGACTTTCCATTGGAGCAGGATTAAAGAGCAACCAGATTTTAGAGTTAACGCCAATAACTGGTAACTCTAAAGGTTCCCTGTGGAGTTTTGGATCACTCGTAAGGTTTTAACGAGTGGGTCCCCGTTTTAGTTTGTGTTATCGTGCAGGCAGCACAAAGCATAGCCCTGCTAACTGTGTAGTGCTGTTGCATAACAAACACTCAATGTAAACGTGATTTTTGTTTGTTTCCACTGGGCTTTAAAGCCTGCTAGTACATTTTTTTGTCTGTACTAAATCTTGAGGAGGTTTGAATCCATATCGAATCATATGTTTGTTTGTTTTTCTGTCCTCTCCAGGCCAGGATGACTGGAACGGGACCCAGCAATTAGGCCCAGGGAAGGCCCCTCCCCCCTCCAGAGGTGCCAAGACGCCTTACCGGGAGCACCCATACCGACAGTACTGAAGCGGACTCGCCACCCTTAACGTGTCGCCCTGACTACCGCCTGTCTACCACGGCAGCTCTTGCTTTAAGCAGCCCGACAAAAGTAATTGTCCGTTTTGTCTTTGGTTTGGTCTTTTCCTACACCGGACTTTATACGAGAGAGCAAATTCGGAACTGAAAATCTGAACTGGTTTTTGAGATTTGACCGCAAACCCCCCTCCCCCACCCCTACTTTGTTGCTCCAACCAACCAACCAACCAACCAACCACCCACCCACCCACCCACCCATCCATCCAACCAACCAACCAACCAACCAACCAACCAAAGCGGCTTTTAGATGGGTTAGAGACGAGAAGTTGGCGTCCTTTTTTTGTTCTTTTTCATTTGAATTTTTGTTTATGTTGCTGGATTTTTTTTCTCTGACCCTTTTTACCCCCCTCTGGCTTTTTTGCATTGTTGATCGTTAATTTCTTTAACTGTTTGGAAGTAATCATTTCTAGTGGAATTAGTGGCTCATTACACACTTGTCTAAGGAATCCATTTTAATTGTTTTTAAATACAAAGAATCTGTCGAGGGTCAGTTGCAGATTCCCATTTAGGCTACATTTCAAAATTCTGTTAATATAGCCAAATAAAAGACCTTTTAAACTTTCAATTATGTAATATAGAAACAAAAAAACGATCTTAAATTAAGTGAAGGTTAAAGAATCAATGTTAATGGAATCAGTACAATTCATTCTTGATGATGGTTTGTTTTTAAATAGTTCTAAAACGTTGTCCATTTAGACTTAGGCAGCAATATTTGTCATTGTACTTAGAGTTTTGAAATATAGCCCTAATAGACACTGTTGAGATGGACTGTCCTCATATCCTCAATTTGTTTTACTTGTTAAAAATTAATTTTAAGACTCTGAAGACAAAATGTTTGTTTAATGAGAACACGGCCGAGAAATGGCCTCCTGTTATGCTAAAAACAGTTCAGGTCTTCATTTTGTGATCTGATTCTCTATAAACTGCATGCACAAAGTACTCAAAGAAGGATTGGGACAAAAATCTCCACATGGGTCTTCTCTTTCTATAGAGAAGGGATCCTGCAGCTCAATCCGAACTCTTGTACATATTTTAAAACATCCTAACTGTACTTATTCTGCCACTAGTATCTGTACCCTCTCCATAAAATGCATTATGCTACATGTGTAAGCTTGCCTAAATAGGTTACTAAATCTGTCCAAAAGATGTTTTGCAGCAGTTTGTCAATAAAGCTTAGTTTGTTTTTTATGAAACTTAACTTGCTTTATTTGTTTCCTGTCCTAGTAAAATTCTGAAATGGCCTTTTTTAAACAACCTTCAGCAGTCAGATGTAGGTGTTTTCCTTTGTTTCTCATTCAAAATCGCATTTTAAATCTAAATGAATGTATTGACGTCTGAAGAATTTAACCCTACTAAATGATGTCTTGATTGATTATCAAAAGAGCACAACTTATTCTTTCTCTCTCTTTCTATACTTTTTAAAAAGGACCCAGAGGTAAGACCTCTAAAATAACCTGGATAGCTTCCTAATGTGTATAGAGTTCTAAAGCATTGAATGCCTGGGTATGTATAAGACTTTTTCAATCCTCTTACCTGTGGTCGTAATCGTTAATGAGAATTGCTTTTATAGCATCTGAAAATTAACTGAATTCAAACCACCATTCAGGTCTAGGCTTCATTGTCATGAATGACGCTGGCGCGATGGCTACTTTAGTACAGAGTAATGGCAGTGCAATGGAGAGGATGGTTATAACCTAGAGAACTCCACTGTAAAGGTAACCTAACCCTAAATGTTTAATTTCGTAGTGTGTTTATCCATTGACATAAACTTGCTGGTAAATGCGTAGTTTCTTAAAATACTATTACAGTCATGGCAACAAAAAAGAATCGACTCAAAAGTAAGAAAAACGTAACTTCCAATATCTGACAGTAGTGGATTTTATGTACCAAAATAACTGTTCTGTGTACTAACAAAATATGTTAGAATAGTGTTAATGCAACTCTTGCTAAAATGAACAAAGCCAAATCTATGTCAATATCTTCTGTACAGTTGAGCTGCTGTTACTTTTTATTTGGTTGCTTACTGTAATATTTAAAAGGTTCTGCCTGTACAAAGTTAATCCAAAAAAGAAAGCTTGAGTTGCATGAGCATATCTTCTCCTGTAGACATTGCATGATCTCTGTCTCAAATTTCTCTGTGTTTTTAGACAAGGTATTGATTTGGGGTTTGTCCTTCCTTCAGGCACAGCTATCGGTCACTGAGTGCTGGGAGACTGACAGTCCGCTGAAGACTGTGAGACCATACAGACCTCAGGTTGGTCCAACGCTGCACCACTGCTATTCTTTTTTTTCCCTTTTTAAAGGACCGTACTGCTGGTTTTTGCATGCTTTAGCCCATTATATACACACTCCATTTCCATTACCTCTACCCATACAGCCAGTCTTTTAGATTGATTTTTCTACCTTCCAGGCAGCCATTGGTATCCATTCATGTTTATACAATATAAAAAATCATCTTGCATAGACTTGAAACCTGCATGAAATGTGTAATCCATCACAGAGAGCCAATCCAGCTTCTTTATTGTTTTTGTCAAGGCTTCATTGCTTTTGTAGAAAGCTGAGTTTTTTTTTTTCTTTTTTTCTTTGTAATCTTTCCCTGTTGGTGCGTTCATGGACGCTCAGACACCTGGGAGCTCAAAGTCTGAAGAGTACAACATTTTGGGAAAGCTTATTCACATTTTTGAGTCATTTACATTGAATGTGATGCTACCGGTTAGCTTCTCTTAGTTAAGCATAAAGATTGGAAATGGAGAAGAAGCTAGCCTGGCTCTGTCATGGGTAACAACATCTTCCTACCGTACAAACACCAAAGTGTAACAAGGAAATAATGCTGTTTTTTACAGGGGTTAACACCTAGTAAAGTGACTTTTTTTGCACAAGTTAAACAAATGAGATATAATGTAAACATCATTTTTTAACCTAGCCAGTCTAGGTGTGTTCTCCTGGTTCTAATCTTTATGCTAAGCTAACCAGCTGCTGGGTGAAGCTACAGATTTACTGTACTGACATGAGAGTCGACGATCTTCTCATCTAACTCAAGAAAGTAAATTTATGCATCTCCCGAAATGTCAAAAATATCATTAGGATAGCTTTTTGTTTGTTTGTTCTTGAATAAAACCTCAGTGATGTGATTCTTTTTGCAGCTGAAAGCACTACTAACTAGTTTTTAGACCCTGCTTGCAACGCTAACTAAAAATAAACCTAACGAATTTCCCCCTGTGATGGATTAGGCGTTTCCATCTAAAGTATCCACAATTTGTAGCTAATGGTCTAAAACATTCAAACCCTGGTATTGTCCTTTTTCTTTTTTCTTTTTTTTTTTACTTTTTCCCATTTCTCCCCAAAGACCATTGTGCAGGAAACTTTGCTTCAGATGCCTCTCGGCCTTTTTAGCCCATGTAACATGCAGCAGCAGCACGTTCATGATATTCACAGCATTTGAAAGCTTGGTTGATTCTGATGATTGCCCAGCTCCTGTTAAGTCGCCGTGCTTTTGACAGTGTCTGTGAATTGGTGTGTGGCCGCACTAGCCTTCAGCGAGTCTGAGCGAGGGAGAATGCGACGCCGGTGTCAGTGTGGTCTCAGGGAAAGTGACTAATGAGGATCCGTAAGCTCAGGGCTTCTCTGACAGAAGGAAAACGGCAGCGGCAGAGGACTCTGGCGATTCCCGAAATGGAACCAGCAGGAGGAGAGAGAGGTGTCAGAGGGATTTCTCATGATGTCCCGTCAATGCCTTGAAGGCAGGAAAAAGTTAAATGAATGCTTGGCAAAGTAATGCTTGGTGGTCAGACTTTGAGAAACATAACTGTCATTGGCATTTTAGTTGAGGGAAGTCGGATAACAAAGCCGTCTGAGGGCGTTCTTTGAGATGTGTCTTGACAGAAAGGTCATTCGCTTGTTTGAAGATTGTGTTGAACGCGACTAACCGCCAGTTTTTAGACATGTTAGAAAATGAAATCCTGCTTCTTTGTGATGACAAAGCAACACAACAGCTGGTTTGCAGCAGCTGGTTCAGACTTTGTGAGTCCCTCAGAGCAAAATTTGAGTGTTTTTAATGAAGAAAAAATATTTGCTGCTGCCGTTCAGACTTTACAGAAACGTTGATTTATGAAAGATTTTTTTGTCTGGGCCTTTTTGTTCATTTGCTGCTATGTTGTAGGTACGTCTTTGATCGCATTAGCTGGTGATTGAATGTTAATGCACTAACCCACAGCCGCCAGTCTTGCCAGTAATTATGTCTGACTTAGTTAAAATGTTGCTTATCAATTGTTAGAAGAGCTGTGCTGCTTGGCAGGAAAATGACCTTTAATTATTCCAGCCCGCTTAAAAAAAAGAAAAAAAATTAAATTAAAAAAGAAAAAGAAAAAGTGAAGTAGTTGTTGGTGGAAGCACCACCTCCCATCTGTCCTGAAATGACTGTAAAGCAGCGGAAGATTTAGTGACTTGAAGAACCAGTGTTGTGTGTGTTAATATGTCCGCTCATGACGAACCCAACCCCCACCCCCACCCCCCCA